GTGTGTGTGTGTGCGTGTACAAAATCCCCAGCCTGGTTTCTGCAGACGCGTCTGTCTGTTTCTTTGGGAGACAAGACGCCTTGTTCACTTACTTGTTTATTTATTGACGATCCGTGGATTGAACCAGGGGCTGCTTTGCCACTGAGCCACACCCCAGCCGCCCGCCCCACCTTTTTGGGGTCTTGCTGAGTCCTCAGGGCCGGGCCTTGAACTTGCGACCCTCCTGCCTCCGCCTCCGGGTCACTGGGCTAACGGGTGGGCACCTCTGGGTGGGCACCTCTGGGTGGGCACCTCTGGGCCGGGCAGCGCTGTTCTTTATGACCCACTCTGTGACCCAGCTTGGGTTCCACATCCTCCAAGGTCACTGGTTGACCGGGTGGGAATCCCCACCCCCGAGTCCATCAGCGAGAAACCAAGTCCAGGGGGAACTGGAAGGGCCCCGCGTTGACCTTGGGTGACCTTCATCCCATCAGCTTTCTGCCATCCCCGGAGCCTGGTTCCTTTTTCATGGGCGGGAAAACCCAGGCTCTGAGAGGAAGCCACTCTGCCCCGAGCCCCATGTCCCTGGGCAGGCAGGGTGGTCAGCATGACACTGGACACACAGGGGGGACAATGACCCCCGAGGACCTGGGGTCAGCTCCAGCCTCCCCTCACGCCTTCTTTGGCCAAACTGCCGCGACTGGGGTCACGCTGCAGCTTGGATGGCCGCGTCCACCTGGTTGGAGACAGCGGGCACCTCAGCCGCGGGCGCCCGGCACCGCGTGGATCAGAGCCTCTGTTCCTCCCTCCTGGCCCCGGAGGGTGGGAGGGCTCGTCCCACTCCAGGTGAGGACACGGAGGCCCAGGACTCGGACCAGCCCTGGCCCCGGAGGATCTGGGCCGACGCGGCTCCAGGAGCGGAGCTGGGGCTGGGGCTGTCTGAACCGTCAAGTGCGCAGCCCGCAGCCCGCCCGCTGGGCGTCTTGGTGACCTGCCACCGGCTCTGGCTCACTCAGACCCACCGTTTCGTCTTCCGGGGCCTTGGTAAGAAGCCAATCAGCTTCTCTCAGGGACAGTGAAGCCGCGGGGTCACGGGTTCAGGATCCCAGATGGGCCCCGCGTCAGGACCCTGAGCAGGGGCCAAGGTGGAGTCCACGTCGGGGGTAAAGAGTTAAGGGCCCCGCTGCAGGGCGGCTTCTGGCCTCCGTACTACAGGGGGACAGCACTCGAGGTCAGCCGGGAGCCGGTGTTGCTGGCACACGTGTCCCCAGCAAAGGGGCCGCCCAGCAGGGGTGCCCAGGACGGGGAGGGACAGCACTGACCAGCTCAGGGACCTGGTGGTACGAGCCTCGAGCCCCAGAACCATGCCCGTCAAGGCCGGTGCCAGGAGCCACGGTGGACCTGCGTGCTGGCCACGCCTGTCCTGGTATACTGTCCATGCTGAGCGATGGCCTCGGCTGCGGGCTTGGCGAGAGGACGGTGGGTGAGAGGACCAGTCACCCTCAGCGTCATTGTCACCACGGGCCTGGTAGCATGAGACAGGGGACAGAAAGGCACCATGACTCGGCTGTTCTCTGGACGGCGTCTCACGGGCGGGTCTTGGGCCAGCTCTGCCCAGCAGTGGCTGATCTGATCCTGGAAACCACTTTCTGGTGGATGTGAGGCTGAGCGTGTGGGAGCGCGGGCTGGGGCCACCTCCCGGCACGTGGGCCATCTCATGGGTTCTGCCTGCCCTCGATCCGCACGAGGGACCTGAGACCCAGAGACGCCACGTGGCCGAGGACCGTCCCCCAGCCACAGTCCGGAGCCCAGGAAGAGCGTGTCCCTGACTGTCCTCTCCAGCCCCAGCCTCTGGAGACCCCCACCCACCGCCAGCCAGGAGCTCGGGCTGCGTACCACCTGGGGCTCCGCGCCCGGGGCTGAGGAGTGACAGTCCCTCCGTCACCGCCGCCGCACAGGGACGCTGGGATCCAGGGCCTGGGTCCTGGCCGCCCACCTGCACCAAGGTGGGCGCTTTCCTCTCTGAATTTCCGGGGCCCGGGGGCAGACACCCAGACTGCGGGCCGGGTGGGCGGGGGGACCACAGGGTGGGGGACTGGTTCCCTTCCTCTGGGGTACACGGGACCGATGCAGGCCACTGTGATTACTCATGCCCGGGTGCCTTCCTCGGGAGGCCAGGGGGTGGCTTCTGGGCACCCCTGGGTGCCAGCCTGGTCCGGCCCTCTTCCAGGGGCAGGGGAGAACCTCTGGCCTCTGACGGACTCCCGAGGCGCAGGGCCTGGGCGCTGGGGCGTTTCCAGGTCGTGGGGCGCGGGGGGCGGAGGAGGGGCAGCCTGGTCCCCGCCGCCCAGCCGCCGGCCCGCCAGGCACAGCCGGTCTTCGGGGAAGTCGAAGTTCCAGGAAGCGATAACGCTTGTTGAAACCTCTTTCTTGTGGCCTGGTCTCGTCACATGGCTTGGTGGGGACCAACGTCAGGCAGGGCCACGGTCTGGGCCCCGCTCACACCCCCGCAGCTTCTGCCAGAGACCAGGGAGGGAGGAGCAGGCCGGTCGGAAGGCGGGCACCGGCCGCCACCCCATCCCAGACGCCCCCACGGCTGGCCGCACCCCAGCAGACCTGCAGAGCTGGCTCCCCAGGGTCCCCCATCAGCAGAGGGTCCAGGGTCCGAGGCCCTGGGACCAGTGAGGAGAAGGAGCTGGCCGCCGCCCTGGCCCGGCACAGGGGTTGAGGAGCGAGGGGTCTGCTCCGTCCCGCGTCAGGGACGTGCCCGCCGACTTCCTGGGGCAGGCTTTCCTGGCCTTGGACACTACCGACATTTGGGGTGGCTGACGTTCTGCGGTGGGGGCCGGTCCTGTTACCGCTGGACCGTGAGCAGAACCTCTGGCCTCCCCTACCCAGGGCCAGCAGGTCCACCACATGGTACCACCAGAAACGTCTGCAGACGCCACGTGGCCGATGTCCCCTGGGGAGCGGAACTCTGGTGGAGGTTCAGCCCCGGCCCCCAGTAGGCGCTCACTGAGCTGGAGGGAGAGCGTGGAGGGCCATTTTATGCCCACCACCTGGCATCGGGGGGATGCTCTTAGCCCTTGAATCTGTACAGCGCCCTTAATTAAAACAAGACCAGGTACATAAAGACGAGCTGGAGACGGAGCTGGAGAAGAAGGCTCAATCCAGGACGAGAGAGTCCAGAATAACAAGGAAAGGCCGTGCCCCTCGGGGGAGGCCGCTGGCACTTGCTGGAGCCCCGGGCAGGTGGCTGCGGGATGCTCTCAGGGGACACTGCGACGTGGCTGCGGGTCCTGCCCGTCATCTGCAGGGGCCTCACCTGCCCACAGCTGCCCATGGACACGGAGCCTCTGTTCAGTTCCTGCTCTTCGATCTCCGCTCCCCGCTGCAGGCCTCGGAACCTGGAGGAATCCACAGACAGAGAGAAAACGGGGCCCGCGGGGTCAGAACGACCTTCAAACCCAAAAAGAACATCCTCAGGGGAAGAGAAGCTGCCGCCTCTCCAAAACAAGAAGGGGGCGTTGTGAAGAGGAACCTTGGGGGTAGGGAGGACGGGCTGGGAAGACGACGGCAGAGACCAAGAGTTAGGAGATGGGTGGAGGAGGTCACCAGGAGAGGCCCAAAGAGGGGACCCAGGAGGGAAGTGACCAGAGAGTCAGGGGTCACTTCCCCAAAATGCCACTTCTGGTTCGAAGGAAGTAGAGAGAACGACCACAAAAAAATGGATGGGAGGAGTGGTCAAAGAATCTCCAGATCTCTCCGCTCCACGGGCACGGACGTCCGGGTTGGAAAAGCTCGCTAGCTGTGGCATGTCCGAACTGCTGTGTAACAGACGGCCCCGCACTCGGGGGATATGGGAAGGTGGATCCCAACAGCGCCCTCAGGGCCTGCCCCTGCCGCGTCCATGAGGGTGAGCTCACCACCTGGACAGAAGGG